CTTACAGAGTAACTTTGAGGAACAAGAAGTTTTGACCTGTCTGAAGATGTGTGCAAGTGACAAGGCCCAGGTCCGGATGGATACACAATAGGCTTTTTCAGAAAGTGTTGGGACATTTTGAAGGAAGACATCATGGCAGCCTTCAACAACTTCTATTCTCAGGAGATGTTTGAGAAAAGCTTCAATGCAACATATATAGCTTTGATTCCAAAGAAGACAGGTGCGAAAGAATTGAGAGATTTCAGACCGATCAGTCTGATAGGGAGCTTCTACAAATTGCTCTCAAAAGTCTTAACCGAAAGACTTAAGAGGGTGGTAGGTAAAATTGTCGATGCTCAACAAATGACTTTCATCAAAGGAAGACAAATAATAGATGCTGTGTTGATTGCCAACGAAGCTGTGGATTCAAGAATAAGAAAGAGGGAACCTGGAATCTTATGCAAATTAGATATTGAGAAGGCCTACGATCATGTTAACTGGAGCTTCCTACTAAGAATGTTAGAACTAATGGGTTTTGGGCAGAAATGGAATAGATGGATGAAATTTTGCATATCTACTATAAAATTCTTCATTCTCATAAATGGATCTCCTAAAGGTTTTTTCCATTCTCACAGAGGTCTAAGACAAGGTGATCCTTTATCTCCTTTTCTATTCATTATAGCCATGGAAGGTTTGAACAACATGATCAAAACGGCTAAAGTCAGTGGATGGGTTAAAGGTTTTGAGGTAAACAGGAGTGGGGCAAACAATCTAGAGATCACACATCTCCAATATGCTGATGATACTCTAGTCTTCTGTGATGCCGAAAAGGACCAACTTAGATTCCTAAGAATCATTTTGATCTTATTTGAGGGAGTCAAGATTACACATCAATTGGAGAAAGAGCAATATTTTTCCCATTAATGAAGTTAACAACATGGAGGAACTGACACAGATATTGGGAGGAGAAGTGGGGTCCTACCAACTGTTTACCTTGGGATGCCTCTTGGTGCAAGATCCAAATCAAAAGAAATCTGGAATTCAGTCATAGAAAAGTGTGAGAAGAAGCTGTCAAGATGGAAATCACAATACCTATCTTTGGGGGGCAGGCTAGTTCTAATCAACTCAGTATTAGACTCACTTCCTACTTATATGATGTCTTTGTTCACAATTCCAGCAGGCATTTTACAGAGATTGGACAAACTCCGAAGATCATTCCTTTGGCATGGTAATAAAGAGATAAAGGTATTCCATTTAGTTAAATGGAAGACACTCACAATGGATAAAAAACAAGGTGGTTTAGGAATAAGGAATTTGAAGAATCATAGCAGGGCTCTTAAAATGAAACGGTTATGGAAGTACTCTAAAGAACCCCAATCTTTATGGGGCAATGTGATCAAAGCAAAGTATGGTGAGGAAAATAACTGGGTGTCAAAAAAGTCAGAACATCATATGGAGTAAGTGTGTGGAAGTCCATCAGAAAACTTTGGCCTATAATGAAGAATCACTCCTCCATAAGAGTGAGCAACGGAAGGAACACATCATTCTGGAATGATAATTGGTTAGGAAACGGAAGCTTAAAGGAAAGATACCCCGATATGTTTGGTTTAGCACAAAACCAGCATAAGACAGTAGCTGATATGAGGAGTCATCAAGGATGAGAAATCGTTCTAAGAAGATAGTTGAATGACTGGGAGATAACAAGACTAGCTGACCTTTACAAAGAGCTGGAAGCATTAAAAGGATTACAGGAAGGTTTTGATTCAGTTTGGTGGAAGAGGCACAACAGAGGGGTTTACCGGGTGAAGGATGCATATAAGATTTTGAATCATAATAATCAACAGTTGGACCCATGGCCTTGGAAACATATATGGAAAGATTTCCATACAAGGTAGCTTGCTTCACCTGGCTACTAGCAAAGGAGGCGGTATTAACCCAGGATAATCTTATAAAAAGGGGAATTTCTCTATGCTCAAGATGTTTTCTGTGCGGGAAAAATGCAGAAACTGTCACACATTTGTTTCTACATTGCAAGATTGCAGACCAACTATGGAAAATCTTTATTAGTCTTAGGGGTATTCCATGGTCAATGCCATACAGGCTTAAAGATGTCCTTTATAGCTGGGAAGAAGCTGGAGCTGAAGCAACTAGTAGAGATAGATGGAGGACTGTCCCGGCTTGTATATGGTGGACAGTTTGGAGGGAAAGGAACAATAGATGTTTTTAAGATAGAAGCAATCCAGTGCAGAAGATTAAACTCAATTGTATTCTTCTTTTTTGTTTTTGGTGCAAACAGATTTACATAGAAGATACATTGACAATCATAGACATACTAGGATTTTGCTAGGTTTCGAATTAGAAAGTCTACTAATCCTCTTTATGTAAATCTGGTTTTCAGTGCAACCCATGTACTGATGTTTTTAATATATACAATAGTTACCAATTCAAAAAAAAGAGTATCTTTTCTCTGACGAAGTGACAATCAATCTCAATGTGTTTAGTTCTCTCATGAAACACCGGATTTGATGCAATATGAAGTGCAGCTTGATTATCGCACACAAGTTCCATCCGACTGATTTCACCAAATTTCAACTTCTTGAGCAATTGTTTGGTCCAGACTAGTTCACATGTTGCCCTAGCCATTGCTCGGTATTCTGCTTTTGCACTAGACCGAGCAACTACATTCTGTTTCTTACTTTTCCAGGACACCAAATTTCCTCCTACTAAAACACAATATCCAGACGTAGAACGTCTATCAGAAGGTGAGATCCTGCCTAATCAGCATCCGAGTACCCAACGATCTGCTTATGACCTCGATCCTCAAACAGTAATCCTTTACCTGGAGCCGATTTTATATACCGGATAATGCGGACAACTGCATCCCAATGACTATCACAGGGAGAATTCATAAACTGACTTACAACACTCACAG